ACAGACATGTTGTAATTATTTTCTCAATTTCTTGTCCAACTAATACGTGGATGACCCATCTATTGAGATTACAAACCTTTTTCTAGGCTCTGTTTGTAATTTCATCGCATGTGCAAGCAAGAGACAAAGAAGTGTGTGCGCCTTCACAATTGCGTTCAACTTGATCATGTAGTGAATTTTTATTTATTATTATTATTTTTATTTATTTTATTTTTGGTCAATGGACTGGGCAGTTGCTTGCTAGGCCCAATAGGGGTCAAAGGGACAAGTTTTTAGGTGCTTATGCTTTTCCGTTGGTGGCCCTTTATTTTTGTGAATGATATATGGCAGTGGGGCTTCTGAGCTTCAACTTTGTGATGGTATTTTTGGGCCCAAATAAAGCTAGGAACATTATCTATCTATTCTCTATTCCATATTATAAAGATAACAAGATAATTAATGTAGATGAAACCGGGTATCAATAACTGCCTCGAGCAGCTGTTTCACATAAATAGTGTGTCAAATACTTCTAATTATATATATATATACATATATATATATTTTCAAAGCAATGAGATGCCGTTTAGATTTTTGTTGGGATGAATGAGCTGAGCTGTAGCAATCGGTACAGTTGATTGAGGTTTTCAATTGTAAGGATCGAGCCAATTCAAATTTTAATTTAATATAATCAAGGCCCAGATAATTTTATTTATGCATAATTATAATGCTAATTGTTTAATTTTTCTACGCGAATTAGTTTATCGGTTCGCAAGAATGGTCTTCCATTTCAATTTGAGATTTGAGAGATACGCCCAGTAGATAATTTCTTTTATGTTAAAATATTGAGTTTAATTATTTTGTCAATATTTTGGAGATTAGAATAATTATTTACGCATTTGGGCTCCTAAAACTGTAGTATTTATACATAAATGGAGATATTTTTGGGAAGGCATGGCAGCCACTGTTATGCAACCGTTTGGGCCCAATTTGTGACCCATTTTGATGATCCGAATCGTTCAATTTTTAGAGTACATCAAGTGAAGTATACCTATAAAAAATCAAGTTGATCGGACATCATTATCCCTTTATCGAATGACATTTGTATTCAATTTTACACTTAAATTCACATTTACCATTTATTTTTTTAGATACGGATGTAATTTGATGAAAGGACTATCGATGTCCAATCAACTTGATTTCTTTTACAGGCATATTATACTAAATGTACCCCAAAAATTGAATGATTTGGGTCATCAAAATTGGCCCAAAGGGAGGTGGTTAATGATCTTTCATTCATTGGCAATGAAACTTGCCTAATAGAACAACAGATAACAAGATATTTCACCATTGTTAGAAAGTAAACGCTTTAATGGCTATACTAAATAGAGATACTATACGTTATAAGATGACCATGCATGAATATAAGTGTAGATATGCTAACACTGGTAATGCTACTTTTGTCTCGGTTATCTCCTAGGAACATAATCCCTCAATAATTCTCCTGGGAAAAAGACCAATCTTTGCCGCTTTGGCTTCTGTTTGGTCCGGATTGGGTAAAACCAGGACCAATCCATTATCTACGGTTCTTGAGAAATTAGAACCAATCCAATCCGTTTAAATCGTGGAACCAATCCGTTTAAACATAGATTGGCTCGGTTTAGGACTACGGGTTCACACAATTAAATAACAAAAAAAATATATAGAACATTTAAAGGAAACAAAAGCAAACAGCATCATGTGTTAACTGATCAACAAAAACAGCAACATATAAAATAACAAAAACCCATTAAAACAGTATCACCAATTCTCCAAAATGTCATCTTATGTAACAAAATTCCAAGCAAATTCAGCACTAGTAGACATTTCCCTTTCCACAAATTCTAAGCAAACAAACAGAGATAAACTGATTTTAGAAGGGGGCATACCTTTGAACCAGAAGGAGTTTCAGGCTGAGGATCATACTCTGGCTCAGACTGAGAGAGGTCGATGACATCATTTGTCTCTCCAGTACTTGACATCTATCAAACAAGACAAACAAATACATCAAAAAAAATAGGATTAATATTAGTAGAGAACAGAAATCATACCAGAAATCAAACAAAAAATATACACTGTTTCTCTCCGTGCCACGGAAATCATACCAGAAATCAAAGAAAAAAAATTTATCCACACCACAGAAACCAAAGAAAAAAATAAAAACAGAAATCATATAATATACACACACCCATTTAAAGTACACTGTTTCTCTCCTTGAATACAGAAATCACTGTTTCAGTAAAAAATAAAAACAGAAATATATATATATACACACACACCCATTTAAGATAAAAACTGAAAAAATAAATAAATAAAAACTCTTACTTACACACCCACACCCATTTCAGAAACAGAAAAACAGTTCACCGAGAGAGAGAGAAGAAGCTCACCGATCTGATCTGAGACGGATGAGAGTGTGAGAGACAGTACCGAGAGAGACAACTCAGTCTGAGATGAGAAAGCGAAGAGAGAGAGCACCGAGAGAGATGAGAGTGTTAGAGACAGAGACAGAGACAGAGACAGAGACAGTGTGGCGTGAATGAATTAGGGTGACTTTAGCTTTTATGGGAAACAATAAGGCCAAGTTTGGCTACTGCCAAAAAAGTGCACTTATTTCATCTTTTTATCTTTTTTAGGTCACATCAATCAACATCTTCTCTCTACTTTTTCTACACATAATATAAAAAAAATCAAAAAATACACTTATTTAGTCTTCCCAAACTAAGCCTAAATTATATTGCGTGGGAGGGTACGTAGCATAAATATAAATTATTTCTATTTCGGTTCCAATTTAGGGATATTTGGAAAATTTGATTTTTAGTAACTTTTTTAAGTTTGTAGCAAAAGCTAAAAGTTAGATTTTTTATATTTATTTTTTTCATTTGAGAAGTTGAGTTTTAGCCACTAGTGAAATTATAATTCTACTCTTCATGGGTCAAAATGTGTTATGTAGACGAAGTTGTAAATTTTTTAAAATTGAATTGAGGCAGTTTAATCATTTTATTGTGATTTGAAATCGTAAATAAATATTAATAAAAAAATAAAAGTAATTTTTTACCAACTTTTCAAATCATTTGTCTAAAAAAATCAAAAAGTTACTTTTCACCATCTTTTCATAATAGGTCTTAGAACTGTAGGGTTCAATCCGAAATCGACCTGTGGCTTATAGATTTTAAAATTTCCAATCCGAAACCAAACTATAGATTTAAAAAACTAATCTAAACCTACCAAATTATACTAGATTATATCGAATTATAAATTATACGAATTCCTTACTCAATCCTAGAAAATACTGTACCCAAGTTTAATCATTTTATTGTGATTTGAAATCGTAAATAAATATTAATAAAAAAATAAAAGTAATTTTTTACCAACTTTTCAAATCATTTGTCTAAAAAAATCAAAAAGTTACTTTTCACCATCTTTTCATAATAGGTCTTAGAACTGTAGGGTTCAATCCGAAATCGACCTGTGGCTTATAGATTTTAAAATTTCCAATCTGAAACCAAACTATAGATTTAAAAAACTAATATAAACCTACCAAATTAGACTAGATTATATCGAATTATAAATTATACAGATTCCTTACTCAATCTTAGAAAATACTGTACCCATTAAAGTAATTTATTATTTTCTAATAAGTGGTACTATTAGCACCTTGCGAATTATTTTCAACCCTCCACTTATAAATTTTGAAACTCTAAAAAAAAAAAAATCCCTCAAAATAATATCAAAATTATCATTGTGAAAATATTTCACCCATTGAATGCACACCCTCCACATCTTAAAAAAATCTCTCTTCCAAAAAAAACTAACAAAACCCACAAAGAAGGAGAAGAGTCAATGTGATTGCGTTCTCTGCTGCCTCATCTAGTACTGTCATAGTTGGTAGGGTTTCTTTATATATATACATAATTTATTAGTTTTCTTGTAATAATTTATTCTCTTGCAGGGGAAAAAAATATAATAATTGGTTTGGTTAGTTTTGTTGATATATATTATAAAATTGTGAGTTCAGTAGAGAACTACGCATCAATATTATTAAAATGACGCGATAAATTAATAATTTTTGAACTTGATAATGGATTTGGGTTATTTCTGATAACTTCTGCAAGTGTTAAAAGATTTGACCATTCAATGTATCAAGAAATTTCTATGTTCGGGCCTGTATTCTCGAATTTGAAAAAATGAAAACTTCTATAGGCATTTACAATTTTGACCATGTTAACAAATTTTCGTGTTCAGACTTGCATTTCCGAACATTGTTTATTTGTTCGAAAATGCCTTTTCTGAACAAATACGTAATGTTTAGGTCTGTATTTCCGAACTTGAAAAAATGAAAACTTCTGTAAACGTTAACAATTTTGACCGTTCAATTTGTTAAGAATTTTTCATGTTCGGATTTGCATTCCCAGGCATTACTTATTTGTTTAGGAATGCCTTTTTGAACAAATAAATAATGTTTGGACATGTGTTCCTGAATCTCAATCATATGTTCGGGAGTTCAATCCAAAAAAATATAACGAACACATTTTTTTTTTTGCCGTTTTTTCAAAAGCTTACCCTTACAATGCTAATCTCCTCTGGGTCAAGAACAATATCAAAGTTATTAATCTCCTTATAATATTTTATTGTTGTATTTCTCTTGTCTTATGAAGTTGTGGTTACCAAAAAAATTTCACTCACTGTCATTGCTAGAGAAGCATAGGTAGTCAAATGGTTGCTATTGTTACTGTTTAAATATTGCTGTCAATGGGTTTTCAAGGTTTTGAGGGTGTGTAGGTGTTGAAGGTGAAATTTGGAAAAGATTGATGAGTGGTGATGGAAGTATGTGCTCTCATAAATCCTAATTAATGATGTAATGAATGTGTAGCGTGTCCTAAAATTAATGATATGATTTTTATTAATTTTATTTAAGATTATCATTGTAATAAAAAAAAAAAATTTTAAACCAAAGGGGTCAAAATAAATTATGGGGGCTAATAGGCACACTATTTTGCTAATATTCATGTGCGTTGGTTGAAATATGTTAGGGCAATGACCTCAAACCCATTGATCTTCTTACTGAAATGCCAGACGACATTCTCTCTTTCATTCTCTCGTTTTTGAGTATTAGAGATTCTGTCAAGGCAAGGATAGTGTCTGGAAGATGGAGACATATCTGTCCATTCATGTTGAATCGTGATTTTGATCTTCATACCGTGCTCGGAATCAACCACAAAGCAAGGTACTCAAAGAGTAATTTTGTAACTGGAGTTGATCAATTTTTGGAGACATACAAGCTAGACTCTCTCAGGATCTGTTTTTGTCTTGGTAACGAGTACGCTGGTAACGTTGACAGGTAGATTAGATTTGCAATTATAATGAAAACTGAAAAGTTTGATCTTGATTTTCCCTGTCAGCTTCGTCCTCAAGGTGATTCATCTCAATTAAAGTATTTGTGCCTAAAATCATGCAACCTAAGGCCTACCCCTAATCTCCCTAAAATCCCTTGATTTAGAACATGTGCCTCTAAATCAAAGTTGTGCTAACAGTATCCTTTCTAGTTGTTTAAACTTTGAATGGTTGAGGCTAAAGAACAGTATTCTACCTGAAACTTTATGCATTCATGGTCCATCCCTACATTTGAAGATTTTGATTGTGCACGAATGCTATGGAGTAGAGAAGATTGAGATTTCTTCTATTTGTCTTACCACATTTGAATATACGGGTAAAGTGAAAAACTTCTGTTTTCTTGACGTTCCTCGGCTGGAAAAAGTGCATATCAGGTTCATGGTTGCATGAGAGGGGCACACAATATATGTTCAATGGCATTGCAAATGATCTTCCTTGCTTCAAACCCTATCACTAGTTTTGACAACAGATGAGGTGAGGAAAAAATGAAAGAATTATTACTCTTTATTGTGTACTTTTTCATTTTGTGTATGAAAATGGGATATTTTTCAATATAAAACTTTTTTCTTCTTTTCTCTTCAGGTCCTCCCAATACCTGCAAGGATTACTAGATTCAACTCTCTCAAACAATTGGAGTTGTTTGCTATGGTATCATCAGACCTTAACCCTCTCTCTCTTACTTCGCTCTTAAATGCTTCTCCTCTTCTGCGGAAGCTCCATTTGTCGGCGAGTCATCAGAATCATTCTTACGAGGATAAAATTTGATATTGTTATGTTGTAGTGAATTAAATACAAATTCCTACAATTGCAATGATATTTTCACATTTTTTTAGCAATTTCCTATAAATCATGTTACCTTTTGTATATTGTTCATTTCCTTATTGGCTCATTTATCCTAGTAAAATGCAACAAATATGGGCCTTTGTACTTGTATTTTTACTGTAACTTGTGCTCCGTTTGTTTAAACAAAAAACATTTTTCAGTGGAAAACATTTTTGACGAAAAACATTTTTCAGAAAAAATGTCTCCCTAATGTACTAATAATTGTATTAGTGGTTGTGGGTTGGTGGTGGTGGGGTGGAGGTAGTGGTGGTGGTGGTGGTGTGGGTGTTGGTGTTGAGGGGAGGGTGATGGTGGTGGCAGCAATGGAGGTGGTGGTAGTGTGGTGGCATTGGTAATACTTTAGTCCAGAAACCTTTTAAAAGTGGAAATCATCTTCCTCTCATATAGGCTTGTTTTCTGTTGATTGCGAAAAAAGTGTTTTGTTCAGTGGCATGCTTATGTTCAACATTATTGAGAGCATCTCCATCGAACTAGCTATTTTTATTTTTTAGCTAAAATAAAATAGTGAGTAAATCCCCGAAATTTAAAGCTAACAATCAAATTAGCTATTTTAGATTTGGTGATTTTGACTAGTCAAACATTAAAAAGATATTATTTGTGATATTTTGGAGTTAGTTGTGTTGAGTTTATCAAAAATATTTACATTAAAATTGTTGGAGTTTTTTATATTGTTTTAGTCAATAAGGGTATTTTGGTCATATGTATTGTAGTGATAATGTAAATATCAATTACGGTGTAAAGTCTCATTACTGAAATCCTAGCCTTGCCTTTCCATATCTTTGTTCTCTCATTTTTTTTTTAATTATTTTAATTTTTTTTGAATCAACATAAGGAAAATTTTATAGATTAATAAGAAGTACATAATGAGGACAAAGAGTCCTCTCAAAATGAATATACACAATAAGAAGCCTAACCAAAGATAAACAGACTATACATCACAAATAGATGTGCAATCCCTCGATATCAATAAACGTGGAATCCCTTTAAACACTGGCAAAATGGAAGCCCAGAATGAAGCCGAGTAACACACTCTATCCCACAATGACTCCGTGTCTTCAAACTTGTTCTCAAAGATCCTTGTGTTCCTTTCAAACCAAATGACCCAAAAGATTGAAAATACTATAAAATCACAACACTTTTGCACTTTTTTTACCTCGAAATCCAAGAAAATCAGTTAAAATCTGTTGAACACAAGTGCCTGGTACAACCCAAAGTATCAACCAAACAAAAGAGTTGGTGCCAAAGATCCAAGGCCATGTGACCGTGCAAGAACAAATGCTCAAAGGATTCCCCACTTTGCCTACTCATGATACACCATTGAGGACAAAGATAGCGATTAAGCCTCCTTTTTTGAAAGGTATCATTAGTCATGATTCTACCATGAGCCAAAGACCACATAAAAATCTTCACTTTAAGAGGCACTGCTGCTTTCTAGATTCTTTTGTGAGTAGGAGGAACCTTGGGTTTATTGCTGATTTTGTCAAAGAAAGATTTGCTTAAAAAGTCACTAGAGGAGTGAATTGACCAAACCTGCTTATTAGACACATTTGGAGACAACGAGACTTCATGAAGTAAGGACAACAATGATGCCAACTCAACAATTTCCCGATCATTAAGATTTCTTATGAAATTGAAATTACATGAAATTAGTGCCAAACTAGAGCAAACTAAAGAAGCGATGGAAGCATTATGAGGACGAGCCACACGAAATAAATGTGAAATGTCCCATCAAAAGAGGAATTACCTACCCAAACATCCTTCCTGAATTGGGCACACTCTCCATTACCCACTTTCAGAGAAAGAAATTTGGATACAAGTGGAAGCAACTGGGAGATAGATTTCTGATGGGTCGTTTTGCACACCATAAATAAATAATAAAATATTGAACCGATCTTAAACCCCAATTCAAATAGAATATCAGTTCAAGTCCAACTGTTGATCCTCAGGGACAAAAGGCTGAGTTGTTTTAAATCTTGGAAATCTTTTTTTTAAAATTAATTCGAGAGAATGAGGTTTTATGAAGTGAAAGATGAAAACTAATTAAAAATAAAAGTTAAATGGGTAATGCAATATAAAAAGACTTGGGGATTCGAATCCACCTCTAGCTTCATAACCATAATAATTTTATCAATTTTGGGAATTGATTGCTCAATACAATAGTGACCTGTCGTGGCTACTAGCCATAACGGTGTCTTCAAGAGGTTCATGAATTTAAGAATCAGGTGTAACTCATCTTAGATTGGCACGAAACGTCTACACTAAACTAGGATTGTAGCACATCTTGTATTCTCTAGGCATGAATTATCGCAACTCTTAAATACATGCATAAAGATTACTATTGTATAACTATGTATTTAAAATCACAGAAATTAAATACATCAGACAAAATTGGAAGAATAAATTCAATTGAGTAGAAAATTGTCTCAAAGTTATACAATCATTGTATTGATAATCAATCCCAAAAGAAAATACACAGAATAAGGTTACTTGGCTAGGGTTTCATCTACACCCCAAGGAAGAAGATTAGTTGCCCATGGAGAAGGTGAAGAATGCCATGGATGTGGAGAACTCCATCCTTGGAACCTTGGGTTGCCTCCCTCTTGCCTATTGTGTCGTCTTTCAATATGCGAAGAACCCCATTTTTTTAAGCCCAAGTCATCATTTTGTAGTTCCCTCTTAATTAGGGTTGAATTGGGCTCAAAACAAGCATGAAAATTATATTTTTCGGACTTCCTATGCGTCGTGCGCCCAGGCTCACTGCGACCTGCGCCCGGGCTCACTCGGACAGTAGCTTCACTCATTTGTGCCCGAGCTCACCACGGCTTGCGCCCAGGCTCACTCGGACAGTACTCAGCTTCTTGTGCGCCTGGACACACTACAACTTGAGCCTAGGCTCACCTCAACATTGAGCTCTTTCCATCTTACTTTGCTTGGCCTCACCTTGTGGTCCTTCAATATTACCATTTCTTCTCATTTTCATCACAAGAGCCCAAATAACCTACACAACACACAAATCCATTAGAATAAGGAAATAATAACAATTATGGACTTAACAAGCGTAGTTTAGGGGGTCTAAATGTGTACATTTAGGCACCTATCAATTTCCATGGAGACCGGCAATTACCCCTACTAACTGTAGGAGTGTCTTCGCCCCTAGTGATGGATGGGTTGAATCTACCAAAAGCCCATTTCTATGCTTCTAATTGGCTGTTCTCTTCCCCCCATATAATGATAGAGCAGTGTCTAGGGCTTCTAAACTTTGATACCAAGCCAATTTACTTTCACATGATCTTATAAAAATTGAAAGAGACAAAATATCAGAGGAAATTGCAGAGATTTGAGGTAAAGTGATATATGGCTACCAAAGAAAGCAGTAACAAATTGACAAAGCCCTGAATTGCTGTTTCTCCTTTATTCAAATTTCTAGAAACAACTGCAAAACCAAAAGTTAAACCCTAATTCTCTCACTGATTTACTTGACAGAGAGACAAAAAAATAGCAGAGGGAATTGAATAGAATTGAGAGAAACTAAGATGGCTACCAAATACAAGCAGCCTTAACAACAATAAGGAAGCCCTGAATCGGTGTTTCTCTTTTAATCAAATCTTTAGAAATAATTGAACAACTGAAAGTGAAACCTTAATTTTCTGCTCTTATAATCCCAAAGCTTCACTAATTCCCAGCCGGGCACCATAGACTTTAATAAGATGTCCCAATCCCCACAGGCTAAAACTATGCTTGTGCTCCGGAAATTATCTCCCTACTGTTGGTCATTTCAAAGGTAGTAAAGTATAAATCGTATATGCTTTCATGAAACATTGAAATACACACTTTGGGATTGCTGTTTGACCAAATAGTGCTTTTTAATGAGACATATAGGGAATGTATTATAATATGGTCTGGTTAACTTGATCAAAATGTCTGACCATTTATAGTCAGAGATGCACTATTTATTATTATTATTATTTTTGAGGGGAATAGAAGGTCCATGTTAGTGCTTCTCAGTTAAATTATCTAGTCTTTACTGTATTTTGGTGATGCACTATTTGCTATTATTTTTTTTAATGGAAATAGAGGGTCCATGCTAATGTTTCTCAGATAACATACCTAGTCTTTGCCATAATTTTAGTTGGATCATCTGGGAACTCTTTCATTATCAAGACTGATATATTGTCATAAAAACCACAAAAATAACTTTTATGTTTAATAGGTAGCAGTAAGAACATCTTATTAAGAGAGTTTGAGAACACTTTCATGTTTAAAATGACCTGTACAATCATGCAAGTATAGAAAATATATCCTTATTACCAATGTATTATTTTAAAAAACAATGCAAATTTGACATCCAAATTAAATGCAGTCCGAGGTCAAGGACAAATAATACCTTAGGGTCTTGCGTATCTGTCTCCGGTGATGATTTAACACAGTGGTACTATATATGTGTTTTTGCATAGTGAATTCAAAGATTGTACTTCAAATAGGAAAGGGAAAAACTGATTTTGTAGGCATTTTCATCAATATATCAAATTTTTTGTTCTTATTTTAGATTTTTTTGTTAGTCTTCACTTTGGAAATCCATTTTGTTCCTTGTAGGTCTTTATTAGCCATTTAACTTTTCATATCTATGTATCACTTCAAACAACTCACTTCCCTCCCTTGTGTGCATTTGTGCATGTGTGTGCATCTTATAGTTGCAAGAAGTGGTGGTGGGGACAGGAGCGGGAGCAAGGGCATATAAAAGTTTCTGAGGTTGGGAGCGCCTATGGGAGCGTGTATATATTAAATATATAAATATATTCTAATAATTATGTTTTTTGTTTAGTTGTAATATATTTGTTAAAATATGAATTATTATTGGAGATTGATGTCTACTATAAATTGTCTTTGTTAAGTATAAATAAATATTATGTAAATAGGAAGTGCTAGAATAAGATTTAGCGTTTTTTTTATTTATTTTTATTTTTTATTTTTAAAGATTTGTATGCTTGAGAGGTTCTATCTTTAGATGGGAGAGATTTTTTTCCTCGATGGGAGTGAGTTTCTTATAGGTTTCTTACTTGGGAGCGCAGAATCCCGTGTCTTAGTAAGAAGCGTCACCCAAGTAGGAGTTTGCATTCACTTTTACAATTGCTAAGGTGTTTTTTTAAGAGTAATGCTGTACATAATCTCATTTTTTATCCTATTTTCTCACTCTTAGACAGAATGCAATGGGACCCACGTTAATAAATGCACATGGGATCCACTTACTTGTGCCTAAAGGTGAGAAAATACATTAAGAAATGAGATATGCTGATAATAAATTGAAACTAGTAAAAAAAAAAGAGAGAGCTGAGAGCAGGCACTTGTTTGAGAGATTTACTTTATGTTGGTTTTTGTCAAAGAAAGTAGGTCTAGGAAAAAGGTAGCAATGAGAACTGATAGGTTTGTAGGATAAATCCATCTTAATCTCCAAACAGTCATGTAAGGCCAATAAACAATCCAACTCCTTGTCCATTGGGCATACATTCGAGTGCGGCTTGGGTGGATGTAGTCAGCCACTGTTATACCATTCGTTATGTATTCAGGGCTAATGGACTTGCCAACTCCTTGTCTACTGGGCATAAATGTAAGAAACAAAATATTGATTCTAGTTCTATTATAAGTTATGGGTTTGAATCTAACAGAAATTCTAGAAAATGTTCGCTACATGAAAATTTTGGTTTTGAAGCCAACGTTAATTTCTTTTTTGGGCTAATTACATAGACCTCCCTTAAGGTTTCTAACAATTACATGGACCTCTTTTGTAGTTTTTGAAATTACACGGCCTCCTTGTCAGAGTTGTCAAGAAACAATTATTGACAATGGTTGTGATTTTACACATTTACCCCTGCTAGTTAACCTAACTTAAACATCCTACCCACACATCCAAACATCATCATCTTCTTCTTCCTTCGTCTCTGTGTTTCCTTTTCTCTTTTCTCGCTCTCACAGTTGCAACCACCTCTCCAACACAACCCCTCTTCATTTTCCTCCATTGTCACAACCATTGTCTATCGACAACCATAATCACTGTCTCTCTACCAATCCCTTCCTCTTCTTGTCTGTCCCCTCTCCACCACCACACCCAGCACAGCGAGCACCCTAACACCTATCTCCACTGCCATAATCAAGTTATTTCGCCACAAAATCACAACCCATTGCTATTAACAACCCACCACTACCACTTCCTATAGTTGGCGAAAATTGGATGTGGTGCACCACCACCGCAAGCCACGGTTGATGTGTGAATTGGATTTTATACACTGCAAGCTCTAGCCTCCCACCGTTGTGACCACCACACATGTACATATACAAACCCTCTTTTCCCTCTCTCTATATCTCTCCTTATGGATTATTGTTCTATTTATTAAAACCATGATAGGCCTTTTATTATTGAGGCATGAGTGATCGGTGAAGAAGAATGGATATTGGGTTTGGTGAATGGGTGGTTTATTTGTTGTTACAGTGGCATTTGTGATGGTGATATAGTGATAGGTAAGCGTTGGGGTGGTGGCGGTGCTAGGATTTCGCAGAGAAGGTTGTGGGAACTGGGAATTGCAATGGTTGCGGTGATTGTAACTTTGCACCAGAGCTATTGTGAATTTCGCAAAGAAACTTTTCTGTTAATTGAATCAAAAGCAGCAGTGCTATGCATCTGTGCTAATCTATCTATATGTAAATGTAAGTGTAAATATAGTTATATATAGAGTAGCAATATACATGTATATATAAGTAATTTGATGTTGAATCCATGAGAACAATTTGAGAGAGAGAAAATGCATTTGAGAGAGAGGAGAAAGATTCAATGCATGTTAGAGGGAAAAAAAAGGAAGAAGAGATTTATGAGGTTGGGTAGTCGCAGTTTAGAGGGGAAGAGTAATGGAGAGGGAAGAGGCAGTGGGGCCAGAGGGGGTATTGGGTGTTTGATTGTGGTGTGAAGTTATGAGATGGGTGTGTTTGGTTACAATGATATCAAGGGCACTTTTGGCATTTAAACAACAAAATTAGTTTCATCATTGTATTTTGTTAGTATATTTAATGGAGACAATATGGGGGTTGCATATTGCATATTGACCAAAACCTCTCATTGGATTCAAAAAGAGTCTCATCATCACATTTACACTTTTTTCGTTATCTCATTCAAGACAAAAAGACTTGCTTCTAAAAATTATTTTGATTATGAAGGTTAGAGATATTGCTATGACTTTTAAATAAAAAATTATTGTATTAGAAAATAAAAACTAGTATTAAAAAATAAAAAAAACTGTACAAAAATTTATGAAGGGCCCCAATTAGATTTTTCACCTTGGGGGTCTCAAATAAGTTTGAGTCGCCTTTGCCCTTAGGTGTATGTCACGCCATGAAGATTCCCTCAGATTCACAATATTTGAGTATTATAAATTTGTTGGTGTGATGCACCTCTGATTTGAGATTGTGTTTGTGTTATGTTCATGTAAATTGGAGCAAATACTATGTACCATGTTCTTGTAGGGAGAAGACTACAGTAGGTGACCTGAAGTCCCAAATTGAAATTGGAATGAAGTTGAGGGAATCCTTGATGTGTGGGTAAAAGAATAGACCACATGGTTGATGAAGGAAAAATTGCTTCCTGAGGTTTGAGAAATGAGCTTGCTAACGTGAATGAGTACTCCTAAGTTCTGCACCTCAAAATCGAGGTTAGTTCCTGACTGATTGTGTTGTTGACCAGAGGGCACTCTGCTGCTCAACCAAAATGGTCAACAATGCTCTAATGATCATAACCAAAAACCTCATACCTTTGACCCTTGGAGGTGTAGCCTTTATATAGGAATGCCATCCTGCTTCTAAATGTTTCCTTTTCCATTTAGGAATACACTTGCCCAGCAAGTATTCCCTATCCGAGATACTTTTCTAATTAGATTGTGGCGACTCAGAGGTTGCCATCAACCACGAGGACACCACTGTGGTTTTTTTTTTTTTCCCTTCCCCCTTTTCGTATACTAACTTCAACTTAGCCCACTAATGTGAGAGCATATCACCCCGGCTGGATTACTGTATGCCCACCACTGTGAGCATTGTTGTCGGCTGTGTCCCAGACCTCAAGTTACTTAGTACTTCACTCTAAAAGCTATTATGGATACCTTGAGTGAACCTTGTTTGTGGTCCTACTAACCTCGACTAAGCTTTTTATCAGCTTCTTGCCTTTGCAAGGGACATTACTTTAATACATTCAAGTTGACCACAACCTGCGCTCACACCAATTGAGCCTTGGAAGTGCACCCAAACATGTGTTCTTTCCCGAACTGGGCTTTTTCTCCTCACCTTTCTCGACTGAGAATGCCATTACTTCGGGGCCTTGCCCCAAGACAACAATTTACACAAACAATTGCCTTCCAAATTATTGAGCCTATATGCTCGAACTTCGGCAATCGTCGTTACAATATATTCTCATTGCTCTCATGCTGCGACTTTTCTCTTTTTACAATGGGTTTCAGTGAACTTGACCTTAGATATGGCAATCTTGGGTATTCTTCGGGTGAGTTTTGCTCGGATGAGCTTTGCTTTTCTTGAGCATGGAGACTTATCTTCTCGAGCTTCACCACCTATCCAGTGAGGGCCTCGAGGGCATGGTTGTGGTGTGGCACTTCTTGCATCTGTGATAGCTACTTTCCATTCTTAGCCCCATTGGCCTTCACTTGTGAATTTGTTCCACGTTGTGACCGATTCTATTGTCCTTTGCGTCCTCTTCGCCTATGCCTTCGTGTTGAGCTTTGGTACATCTTGTCCTCGTTTTTCACAAATAGCGCCAAATTGTGGGTAAAAATTGGACCACATGGTTGATGGTGTGAATTAATACTCCTGAACTCTACATCTGCAAAATTTAGGTAAGCACTCGTTCAATCTTTTCGTCGGCCAGAGGACACTTCGATGCTCAAGTCAACAACTCCTCGAAGAACACCAAAATGCTCAAGAATGCTCTAATGCTCTTAACTAGATACTCAAACCTCAACGCTTGGGGGTGTAGCCTTTATATAGGAGTGTCATTCCACTTTTACAAATTTTCTTTTCCATCTACGAATACACTTGCCTAGCAAGGACACCTTCCTACGTAGATTAGGTTCTACTTCTCAAGGTAACATTTCCTTATCCAATTAGTTGGTTCCTTCTCACACTAAGATTACACATCCTTGGTATCATATTTTGACTAGGCTTTGACCACTGCCCTCACCTGTGCGGTTCGTGTTTCGCCACGTGGTATCTCTATCAGAGGTCATGCTGCATCATCCGACCTTGAACCCACTTGGTCCTGCTTAAAAAATACATCCCCACATTTTATGGAAGAAAGGCTTTCTCAAAATTTTGCTTTAACTGGCTTAGTAGTTAAATTTTTATTTAATTAAGGCAAGAGGGTTGAAACATTACAATTTTGACACTTTGAGAAATGTATGATTTCACTCATTTTAAAATCATTTTCAGACTTTCTAAACTTGGTGGAATATCTACCCTGCCACGATTAAATTTGGTTTAGAACCCATGTCCTAACACAAGTGCGAGTTGGTTTGGGGAGGGGGCTTTATCTTAGGGCTGGTTGACACAATGGCACCCCATTGCAAACCTGACCCATTGCGACCCCCTAGAGATGTCAATTTATGGTATAACAACCATTGTTTTGCAGTCTGGTAGATATGTACAATTGAAAATTGTGCTTATCTTTGTATGTCAATGTGAATGATAACAACATTTTTTGTAGTGTTGCTGAGTTTGCATTGAAAGTTCCAATTACCGCTGGTATTTGACCATTTGGTTTGATGTGGTCTACCATTTAACCCACTAATTATGCATGCTAGAACTAAAGTAAACAGATGCTACAGTTGAACCTTGAGCTTGAATTCAATTAGCATTTCTTTTATGCAAAATTATGGCCAATGATCAAATTTTGTTTTGGCGTGTTGTTTTGGTTAGCATGGACATGTTTTGGAAGCAACAGACAAAATGAGAATCGAATTTGGAAACGTATGGAAATATTTAGAAACACAAACTAAAACCTGTCGAGGTTTGTGCATATCTTTACATAAAGGGCACAACTATTCAATCCTGAAGTAAATGCTATCCAAGAATTGTTATGCAATCTGGATTTATAAGAAGGTGCATACTTCAGGATTGCATAGTTGTAACAAAGAACGAATTTTAAGTGATTAAACATGCTTGTTTATCTTCTCCTCTCTCTCATGTCCTACTTCCTGATAAATTTAAGAATTTTCTTTGTTTTTAAATGTCTTTCTATTAACAAAAAGCGGCAAATAGAAATAATTATTGTTGGATAGTCATAGTAGGTGGTGAAAGGACTCATTGTTTCATTGCCTATCAATGGAAACCCAGGAATTTCGGTATTGCACTAGTTTTTTGTGTTGGTTTTCTAGGAAAAGGAGCCATTTCAACCACTTGATAGAAAGAAAACAAAGTTTTGTTCCTTGCTTGTGTCTGATTTTCAAAATGTTTATGAGAAAATGTCATCAATTAAGATATCTCTGGGAGCTGTAACAAAGATTTCAAAAAGGCTAGACAGTTAAGTGATTTTGTGGCTCATGGTCTGCATCACGTTATTGTTTTTCATGGTGAATGGTTTTTGGGTTCATATTGGGGAGTTGTGTTGAGATTTATTTTGCAGATTGTAAGGCCTATATATACATATATTTATATTTTGAAGTTTTTGCGTGTTCTTATGGCTTTGTATTTTTGGTTGTGGTATGTGTCTTTGTTCTAGACACTCGGTATGACATAATGAAGTTTCGTTAAGTGATAGGTTAGGTTATTTATCATAAAAGAACATAAATATATTTTTGGTTGGTGGCAGTTACACACTGGGAGATCCAGAGGTCGAAGAATAGAGCAGCAGTTCTCAAAACATGTACACTGTGAACCGATGGACATGTTTTCTTGGGGAGATCGAATGAGATGGAGCTGCTATTTATTTGCTTAAGAATGCTGTCTCACTTGAGCGAATGATTCTGAGCACCCAAAAGAGATTGTACCATGGAGGTGGAAAGTGGACGAGCTCCCAGTGCCCATGGTTTGAATGGCAAAGAAAGAACGCATGTACCTATGATTTGCTCCAAAAAGAAAAAGTCAATTCACATACAGAACTACTTTTCTTATGACATATATTTATGCTACAAAAACTATTTAGCTAGAATCCATGTTTTATAAAACATAATTTATAGTTTTTCTTTAAAATTTTAGTTTAACTATTTATTAGTGTAGACATGAATATGTGGATGTAATTTATTGGTTAAAATGTTTTTACTAGTATTGTCATCTCACAGTTAGGGATGCAACTTGAGCAAACTCAACTCAAGTCTAGTTTGATAAATTTTATTTCCACTTTTAAAGGGGGGAAAGAACAATTTGTTGGATTTTGAACAACTCGGGTGGATCCAACCCAAGCAGCATGGTGTACTACTTACATTTAATTCTTTTTATTTTTTTTATTCATTTTTAGTGTTTTCATATTTGTGCAAAAAAAATGTTGAGAATGATTTTTGGTGTTTTTTTAAAAATAAAATGGCCAGACAATATTTTTTCAGTAAGACTGTTTGTTTTGAGGTAAAATGTTTTACCCAAATAATTTTCATAAATTTGAAAATAGCATTCCACTGATTTTAGAATAATAATATTTTAGTGATAAGAACATACTAGAAGCAACAAGAATCACCAAGCTTCAACATCTTACAAATACTCCAATCTAAATGGATTCAGCTAAATAGAGTATTCACTCCATACCCCCCTTAAGTTGATATAGCTCATTTTTTTTTTTATCAAAAATTTCAAGCCAAATACTTCGGAGGTTATTGCTCTTGGCCATAATGCCTTACCTAGCATTTCATGTTTTACTAAATAATCGAAAGCTAAGCAAAGAAAAACCTCATCAAAACTTTCTATCTTCGTTATTTTTATGCCTACTAATTGCATCAACTACTTGTCTAAAGTTTTTCTTAAATTGTTGAGATATTTGACTCATCATTAGCGTCACGGCTTCGCTTGTGATATTGTCTTGACTAGGATGAAGTAATAATTGAGGATGCAAAATTGTTTTCAACATATTTGTATTTTGATATGCTTCTTCAATGTCATCATTCAAATGTACTCTTTCATACTCTAGTCTAGAGTCCAAATTTATATCAACAATTGATTTTGCAAAATTCCCTCTTTGCCTAATCCTTGCCAACCACTGTAGCCATCTCACCGCACATCTTAATTTTCTTGTTAATATATTTCGTATGAGATGGACGTGCAAGTTTTCAAATAATAGAAGTTATATAAAAAAGAATAAAAGCTAAAAAAAAATATAGATTCAAATAATAGTGATCTAACAATCACACTGAACATATTCTAAGTAGGCTTTTGAGCTCGCTGTTACTATCTTCTTATTGTTATCCCATCCAAATCTGCTTCTACCTTGAAGTTGATCTTATAACAATTCATGCAGTTTTTACTGTTCTAAGATGATGTTGGACGTGATCTGCTGAGCATTGCACTTCATATTTCTCTAATATGACTTTTGACCCTCGAGTGAATGAACTCATCCTAAAAGTGTAATTAGGTCCCTTTATTTTTTTTATTTTTATTTTTTTTTCATTTTTCACCTCATCTGCAAGAACGTCAAACAATATTCACTCCATCCATTGATTTTGTCCACCTACATTGTTTGCTCTTGCCTTCAACTTTTTTTTTTTTCTTTCTCATTTTTGTCAACGTACCACTTTGCATGATTGAATTCCAAGCATCAAGAAAAAATAACCCAAACTCCATGTTAACAAAAATGCACTGACATCATCCAAAACTAGTCAAGTAGTAACGTATATAGTCAAAGAAATATGTGCTGTAGCTACAAACATGACATGTAATGCTCCTTGCTTTGGTACATTCATTTAATAAAACAGAGCATGCTATTTTTAAAATAGAGAAAAACTAATTGCAACCACCACAATTGTTACTAAATAACACTACTGCTGCAACCCATCATAAGAAACAAAATGGTCTAGAAATCATCACTACATGCTGCATTCACTTGCAGCAAACCTGAGCATACAGTCCACTAGCCAACAGGTCATAAATCAAAAGCATGAGTACGAGTGAAGCAAAAACTTGCAATTCTTCAAATAACAAAAACTTAAAATTTCCTCATTTGGATCATCAGCCACATACACAAAGAATTGGAAGTCAATGCAAATAATAAAGCTAAAAATTATCACAACCTGTGATCAATACGCATAAATGGGGAAAAATAGGAAATCAATCCAAAATTCAATTGATGTTTGTTTTTGCTAAATGAAATCTTTAACTAAAACAAAAAAGAAAAAGAAAAAAATAAATAAGGAAAGATCAACTAGTTAGTTTCTTGCATAATTCAGTGATTGGATTTTTAAGGATCCATTCCTAGGTACCCCAAGACTGTAGTTCACATAGACCATGAGTTGGGGCTTCTTTCAGAAATATCCACAGTTGGAATATGCAGTCATATCCACACAATCCACAAATCAGCTTGCAAAGGCACAAATATATTGTCAAATTCTGTCTTAAAATTCTATGTTTCTGCAGTTGGGTTTGGAGGTATCAGCATGCAATCACAATTCAAGACCTCCAATCAAATAGGCTCGCTGAGGCACAAGGAATGATATCATGCAACATACTGGAAGTCTGAGAGGAAAGAGGAAAGAAAAATATCATGGCAGATCAAAGTCTAGGATGGGGTAGCTATGTGTCAAGGTAAGGCTTCCGTGCAGCCGGTGTGTGACACTATGCCAGGAAAAAAGAATTGAACATTTTGAACATAAAGTCTGTAATAGGCTTTCCAGAATGATCAAATCAATCCAACAAAATCCAAAAAGTTTCATCCATGCAACAAACTAATGATAAAGTCAAGTCAAGTGCAAAGTTGGTTACAAAACAATTATCCAAATCAAGCCAAGTGTACCCAAATAGTCAGTAATATTGGGCACCTACTTCTGCTGTAAACCAAGAAGCCATGGGAACTCAAAACATCTAAATCTCTGTTGTTTTTCATCATTTTAAACATGTTTTTGCCTTTCCTTTGTAACATAAAGTTGGTAATCATCAATATAATCCAAAAGAGTTTCATCCAACAATCCAAAGAGTTTCATCCAAAAGAGTTCTATCCAAGTGCAAAGTTGAGTGCACCAAAAGCATCCACCAAATCAACCGTAGTTGTACTCAAGAACTCGTGCCCTAGGGCAGCTTCTGCTGTAGTCCTCCTCTCCGGGTCCAAGGATAGAAGTCCCTGAAACACACTCAAATTTAATTGCAATACGAAACCATAAATATCAAATAGAATATTTGTGTCCAATTATTACTTTTAATTTAATTAATTTTTAAAAACTAATTCAATTAAATTCCTTGTCCATTCTCTTGTATAAACTAATAAACTCGGTTCTCCAACATACCGAAAGCAGATCAAGTCCAGCGGGTTCAAGGTCTTTCAAAACAGCACCAAGATCCTGCAGAGGAAGCAACATATTTCATAAAATGTCCACGTGCATGTATACATCAATATAAAATTAATTCAACCAAATTCTAAAAATAATTTACCATAGGAGGTGACTGGATCATGTCATGAGGAAAACCAGGTAGTGAAGTTACTCCTGGCCAGCTATCCTCGTTGGGAGTTCCCAACAAACTTAATTGCCAAAACACGTAGAAAACAAATCAATCCCAAACAATACACACAAAGCAAATCGAAAAGATAATTGTAAGCTACAAAATAACATTAATGGAAGTTATAAACCTGAAAATTTCTTGCAGAACATCAATTTCAGACAGGCCATTGAACAAAGGCTCCTTCATTACCATTTCAGCAAATATACATCCCACAGACCACATATCAACAGCAGCAGAGTAATGCTTGGAACTCATTAAAATTTCTGGTGCTCGGTAACCAAGGGTTACCAGCTAGAAGAAGAGAAATCAGAATTATGATACATCTTGCAATAATTTATTCATGGAAGAGGTGTACTTTGGCCATGTAAATAGTGCTTAAATACAATATGAGTACAAGTTTATACCTTAGGAGTAAGCATCAGGTCAGGGGAAACAAATCCCCTAGCATGTCCGAAATCCGCAATCTTCAGCGTATTTGAACGTGTATCAATTAGGAGATTATCGGGCTTCAGATCGCGGTGCAGAACTCCGTTGGAGTGGCAGTAAGATATCCCACAAAGAATCTGCTTCAGAAATTTCTGCATAACAAAAGTTACAATTTAGTGGTTGCATGTTAAGGAAATAAAAATAAAAAAAGGGGACAAGAATATAAATCACTTAGGACATGGTATTCCAGCAGAACTCTATAAATTGATGTTAATGAAACTATTTCCTTGGTTTGAACTAAACTTTCAACAAGATAATTTCTTGTTTCATTTACTCAATTTTCAAATAACCAAATACTAGGACAAAATGTTGAGAAGTTTACAAATTAGAACAGACGTGGAAAAATCTTACAACTTATTCACATGCAACCTTTTATAAGGACAACTTCCCCCCAGATTGCAGCATCATTTTGACATGAGAAATGTGGCCTCATTTTTTACACAATTTTTCCTCAGATTGAACGATCATTTTTCACAGCAATCATAGAGGTGAACATTATAGAAATATGTCAGCAAGCCTACAAATTTATAAAAAAATAGCGTCTTTCTCACTTTGATAACAGCTGGATATTTTTCATCATGCCAAGACATGTGCACCCTCAAATCCATAGCAACGTGCTCCAAAACCATATACAAAAACCCTTCTTCGACGAAAACACGCTCCAACCTATCACCCAAAACAGCAAAGGTTGTTAGGCAGTGCGTACTAATATGATTACTATGAAGGGGTTATGTCATGGAGTGTTAAAAAATGTCATGCTTACCTCACGATATTTTGGTGACGTAAATCAAACAGCAATGAAGCTTCACGGATAGCACTGCAAGGTATCTCATCATCAGGCAAAAAGATCTTCTTCAATGCCATTTTTTTGTTGGTCAACCTGTCAATGGCCATCAAAACAATGGCTTGACTTCCCTGTACAGATTCGTCAAAAAGGGCGTACTGCCAAGTTCAACAACCAACTCAAGAATAAGTCCAACAGAAATTCATAGAATGTCAAACAACTAGAACAAAATGAGTATACGTACCCCTTCCATCTTCAGATGCAATCTTCAGAAACAGAAGAAAAATCTAACAACTAGAAAGGAAAAACAATCAGAAAAGAGGAAAATATTTGAAAGAAAGAAAACAAGGTAACACACATTCATGTCTACAAAATAGTCAAAAACAAAATTAACTTTGTTCATGATAATTCACAAATTATCCAACTGATTATAGGGAAGGGGGGGAGGGGTGATAAAATGAGTGTTCGAAGAGCAATGCAATATATCATAATAAGTCAATTAAGAAGAATTACAAAAGAAAGAACAAGCAAAATACAATCACAGGCTCAACATCACCCAGAAAAGCCCACAGTTGAAATGCATATATTTGATATTAAGTTTCTTAGGGCACTCTTTGGTATTTGAGTCAGCCAAAGTAACATTTAATACATGTTTAGCCTGAATGACACAAATTTTTAGAGAGCGAGAGAAACAAATATGAAAACTTATGGAGAAGGGGAGCAAGGTCACTGGCTTTGCCTCTTTTGTGACCCAACATAAAATTAAGAATCCTTACTAAGGATCAATGCTTAAAACAAGAAAGCCTTAGGCAAGGCATTCTAGATTCAAACCTTGGTGAGGCAATCATGAACCTCAAGGTCTTGAAGCATAAGCTTTACAGTTTTTGCAATTTTATATTTACAAAACATGTAATATATATTTAAAATTAGTATAAATAAGTCCAAGAAAAAAGGTGCCTAATAGTAGATAAATTGACTAAAATAAATTTCGAGCAACCCAAGTCCATTAATATGGTTCCAAGGTTTTAAAAACCGAACTAGACCGGCCGGTTGAACCGATGACCGGACCTAGTTCCAATCCGGGTGACCCTCCAATGAATGTTTCTATGAAGCCCCGACACTCTAAAACATGTGCCGTAGCAATGTCGGACACGACAACACAACAAGGACACGTTAATTAGTTTTTTTAAGAGACACACCAACTAGTTTTTTAATTAATAGATTATCGATAAAAAATAACTAAATAAACGACAAGCTAAGAAGCATGGACACGGATACGCTGACACGACAATTTTAAAAAAACGCATGACATAACATGTGGAGAACACACAAAATATATAGTTTTATATATTTATTATATGTCATATATATGTATATATATATAATATTGAAACACAATAAAAAATGCAACTTAATACTAATTTTTGTAGATGTACATTATTTTTGTTTTATCTTTGTACCCTAGATAATTTTGTGTATGTAACTCATGGACGCGTGTATCCCCCAAGTGTTTGAAGAGTGTCCAATTCTAAAAAAAAAAAATTAAAAAATAATATACATATTTGAACGAGTGTCCGACACGTGTCGGGAAGTGTTTGAAAAGTGTCGGTGTCTAGCGCGGACATGCCACCTTAGAAGTGTCCGTGTTTTATAGATGACAAGAGTTAACTTAAGAGTGGTCATTCCTTTTTTTTTTAAAAAAAAAAATTTATTCTTAGTTTTTATTAATTTTGATTGTTTATAAATGTAATATTAATCCACTAACAAATAAAAATATAATATATATATATATATATATTGTCGAGTCTGTATCTCTTTTTTTTTTTTGAAAATATGTCCACAGTTAGATATGGTTTGATCATCCATATCACATCATTATTGATCTACAAATAATGATCATGTTTTTTTGTTTCCTTGCCTCTCTTTTCTTTTCCACGACCCTATCTTTTTCATAAAATTAAAAAATTAAAAAAGAAGAAGCTAATCACCGCAGTCATTACTAAAACCTAACCGCATCAATTGTTCGCAACATTTACAGAAAAGTAAAACAAAATCAATTACAGAAAAAATTGCAAGAACCTGGATATGTAGATATATAATCGAATGACCATGTGTGTCGATATAGAGAGAGCTATATATATCTATATTCATAGGAAAGCACGGACACAAAATCAATCACTCAAAAACAGAAACAGAAACTCAAAATCAATCGCTCGAAATTGAAAACAACGAGAGACAATATACCAATCACCATTCGTCGATATATATGTATGTATATATATATATATATATTCACAGACAAGCACAGAAACAAAATCAATCACACGAAAACAGAAACATAAAATCAATCGCTTGAAAATTGGAAAGAATGAGAGATATTAAACAAATATATACATACATATATATATATATATATGTATGTATATTCACAGAAAAGCACAGAAACAAAATCAATCACACAAAAACAGAAACAGAAAATCAATTGCTCTGAAATTGGAAAGAACGAGAGATGTTGGACGAATCAGCGTGCGTGTCGATATATACAGAGAGAAAGCTATATATATATATAATTCACAGAAAACGTAAATGCAAATCTTGAAACCCTAGGCAAGAACGAAAAATGCAACTGAAAACCTTGATTCATTCATCGGAAACAAAAGTTGATGAAAATTTTCAAAAAAATGTGTGTAAATGTGGAGTAAGAGGAGCATTACCGAGCCCGATTATGGTGACGAAGCAGAGAGACCTCTGTGCAGAGGTGAAAGGTGTTTGTAGAGAGAAGTGAAGTGCAGAGGTGGAGGTGAAAGGTGTTTGTAGAGAGAAGTGAAGTGCAGAGGTGGAGGTGAAAGGTGTTTGTAGAGAGAAGTGAAGTGCAGAGATGAAAATTTTCAAAAAAAATGTGTGTAAATGTGGAGTAAGAGGAGCATTACCGAGCCGGATTATGGTGACGAAGCAGAGAGACCTCTGTGCAGAGGTGAAAGGTGTTTGTAGAGAGAAGTGAAGTGCAGAGGTGAAAGGTGTTTGTAGAGAGAAGTGAAGTATTGTTTGTATATATATACAGGAGGGAAACAATTTTAGGCTCTGTTTTCAGTTATGTGCAGGCGAGAGACAGAGCTTTCACAATTGCGTTCAACGTGATCCTGTAATGAATTCTAATTTTAATTTTAATTTATTTTATTTTTGGTCAATGGACTGGGCAGTTGCTTGCTAGGCCCAATAGGGGTGGAAGGGACAAGTAAGTGTTTTGGTGCTTACACTTTTCCGTTGGTGGCCCATTATTTCGGCGAATGATGCTTGATTTAGATTTTTTTATTAGTCGGTCCTAAGTTTTTCACTTATTTTCCTCTTAGTCCTGGCTTTCGATTTTGTGCACCAATAGGTCTTGAGACTTTTTTTTTTGGTGCCGTTTTACCCCTCCCCTGTTCTGGCGCGTTTCTGTTTGGATTTTCCATCAAAATATTATGTTTGTGATTTGAATTTCTGTAGAACTTCACGATTTGCTGCTGTATCTTCGCGATTTGTGGAGCTTCGTGATTTCTGATTGTGCGATTTGTGGAGCTTCGTGATTTCTGATTTCGCGCTTAGTATATCTTCGCGATTTGTGATTTGCGATTGCGTGTTTGGTGATTCTTCCTATTTGCAATTTCGCGTTTGGTGTATAGTTACATTTTCTGATTTGCGGTTGTCACACCCCAAAATTTGGATAATTAAATATTAAATTAGGACTAAACCCCAATTAATATTCCATCATCCAAATTCTAGGGGTGAAACAAAAAAACTAAAACGCCAACCAAACCATCCACCATAAATTCATAACTAACAAATACCTCAACATTAAGGTAGCAACAACTAGTCAAAACAACTTAAATAAAGTACGGTTACAAACCATGCCAAATTATTCCAATACTAAAGTCATTAAAAAAAATAATAATTACATAAGTTAGTATCAACCCTAAGCTCAAGAAAAATAAAAGAACTCCAAACGACATGTCCTACGATCACGGTTATTTCTTGTCACCACCAAAGCCTCTACTAATCCTGCAAAGGAAGCTCAGCTGCGCTTCAACAAAACGCACCCGAGTTGCCAAGAGACAAAACGGGTCAGTATACAGGTATACTGGTATGAGTACAAGAATTGACACCCACGTGTCCACCAGACACAAACAAAAAGTACATTATTTCTTATCACGGGACAAGACAAGTAGTTCCAACCGCACCGAGACGAATGGATAGTTTCCCGAGATACGGTGGCATTTAGTTTCTTGTCCGTATACAACGAAATATAAATTGATTATAGAATAGACAGTATAGAAATAAAAATATGGTGGGTCAGCCCTGCATAAAAAGTTAGTAAAACCCACCATCTTGCAAAACAAATAAAGTTAGTATAATTTAATCATAAGTAACTTGTTGAAACAAATATAAAATTACACCGTTTCATACTTAAATAATTCGAATTGATCAAAACTCAAAGAACGAAAGTTGTACAGAATCAAATTTCCTAAAAGACAACGTGAACGAATTTAACAGAAACTGAACAGGTTAAGAGAAAAACTTGATCTAAAAATCTAGACGGAATTCAGTCGAAAAATATGAAACTGAAAACGAACAAAAACTGCCATAAGATGATTTTTTCCGAAAAAGTTCAAAACATGAAAAGTGTGCAGAATAATGTTTTACTTCAGTTTACGCGAAACCAATAAAAATGAACTCGTTTTGTGGTTAAAACTGCCTATAAAAATTTGCATTACCAGAGTGAATCAAACCGACAATAGCCAAGGTCATCCGATTATAAGTTCTAATCGATCTTTTTAATAAAAAGCTACAACACAAAAGTTGTCCAAAATCACGAATATATGCTTCTGCTCAAATTTCATAATTTATCAAGATCGTTTACTATTTTTTTATCCTGTACATAACAGTACCATACACACTATACTAATAAATTCATAATTAAATTCTTTGTTCCTTAACTCCACCACTTCGGCTCTCCCCTTCCGGCCTACACATATATCCCATGTGCCTCCCGTATACCTAACACCGCTCCGAAGCCAAACTTGCACGGGGACATCGTCCCGAGTTTGACTCACACTCCCCGGATAGTTAGCATATACGTACGCGCACAAATCAAAGCACTCGTCTACTCATGAGAACGAGGCAACAATATATATATACACAACATCTCACACATGAGAATAAACATAACAATGCCGAGCCTAAGGCATTCAAATAAATCTCATAATCCTCACTTTTTTTTTATACAATCTTTCTCACCATCACTCAAGTACAACAACAATCCATGGAGTCATGGGGAGTATAAGGAATTTATCTATAGGTTCTTAATTAATTTTAATTTCATATGACCATGAGTGTAATTACAACCATAAAATAAGTCCATATAAAATCCTAAACATGGCATATACAACTAATCAAAATAATTAAAATCAATTCATCATCTACATGCAAATACAAAATCAATCCAACATCAAATAAAAATAAATAAATAAAAACAACGAATCAATCCATCCTCTAACCAATATCTATGGATTCTAAGTTTATTTTAATTTTATATAATCATGAGTGTGATTACAATCATAAAATCAATCCATATAAAAACCCTAAACCTTGCATAAACAACTAATCAAAATAATTAAAATCAAGCAATCATCTATAAAGCCTAAACCTTACATACACAACTAAACAAAATAATTAAAATTAATCAATAATCTAAAAACCCTACACTTTACCTACACAACTAATCAAAGTAATTAAAATCAATCAATTATCTAAGAACCCTAAACTTTAAATACAGCACTAGTCAAAATAATTAAAATCAATGTATCATCTTTATGTGAATACAAAATCAAACTACTATCAAATAAATAAGTAAAAACAAAGAATTAAATATAAATCAAGGAAAGTGGGTTTTGTACTCATAATTATTTTTGAAGATTAAAGAATCACTCAAAGAATTAATAAAGTCACCCAAAATAAACCCTAAACCTTGCATACCCAACTAACGCAAATAATTAAAATCAATCAATCATCCAAAAACTCTAAATATTACATACACATCTAATCAAAATAATTAAAAATTAGTCAATCATTTAAAAATTCTAAACCTTACACATCCAACTAATTAAAATAATTACAATCAATTAATTATCTAAAAATCTTAAACCTTACATATACATCTAATCAACATAATTAAAATTAATCAATCATCTAAAAATCTTAAACCTTATATATACATCTAATCAACATAATTAAAATTAATCAATCATCTAAAAAAAATCCCAAACCTTACATACCCAACTAATTAAAATAATTAAAATCAATTAATCATCTAAAAATTCTAAACCTTACATATATGTCTAATCAACATAATTAAAATTAATCAATTATCTAAAAAAAATCTCAAACCTTTCATACCCAACTAATTAAAATTATTACAATCAATTAATCATTTAAAAATCCTAAACTTTACATATACGTCTAATCAACATAATTAAAATTCATCAATCACCTAAAAATCCTAAACCTTACATACCCAACTAATTAAAATTATTACAATCAACTAATCATCTAAAAATCCTAAACCTTACATATACGTCTAATCAACATAATTAAAATTAATCAATCATCTAAAAATCCCAAACCTTACATACCCAACTAATTAAAATTATTACAATCAATTAACACTACAAGAAAAGGGGGTAAAAAACATGGAAGCATTAGCGACGGCAATTTTTCCTTCGCAAAAAATGGTTTTTTGCGACGGCAGCTTAAACCGTCGCAAATGAGGGCTTTAGCGACGGCGTTGTCCCCGCTGGTAATAAAAAATGCACGGATAGGAAGTAAATGCATCAGTATTAGCGACGGATGTTTTTACCGTCGCCAAAAGCAATGTTTTGAGACGGCGTACGGTTGCTGTCGCAAATATTTTACATATTGCGACGGCAATTGTCCGTCGCAAATAAGTCTAAGTTAAACGGCGTCGTTTTATGAATAAAGTACTTGACATTTGCGACGGTGTAAAACCTACCGTCGCAAAAAGTGAAATTTTTTTTGCCCCCGCTCTTCATCTTGCCGCTCGATCAAAAAGTGTAAAGCCTATATCCAAATCCCTAAATCTGTGAAACCAATTTCTTTCCCCCAAATCCCTGCGAAGCCGAATGGCGAACGGTGGTGCGGCGGTGCTGCGGCGAGGACGAACGGTGGTGCGGTATGCTCTCTCTCTCTCTGTCTCTCT